GGGGCCGCGATCGCTACGCGGGCCCGCCTCGTCGGGAGCCGCCGCCGCTGCGCCGCGACCCTTACCTGGGGCCGCGGGAGGAGGGCTACTCGCCCCGCGACGGCGGCTACTCGAGCCGAGACTATCTGAGCGCCCGCGACCCCCGCGATTTCGCCCCGTCTCCCCGCGACTACGCCTACCGCGACTACGGCCACTCCAGCGCGCGCGACGACTGTCCATCCCGAGGCTACTGCGACCGAGACGGCTACGGCGGGCGCGACCGCGACTACGTGGACCACCCGAGTGGAGGCTCCTACCGCGACCCCTTCGAGAGTTACGAGGATCCGCGCAGCGCCGCCCCAGCGCGGGGCCCGCCGCCATCCTACGGAGCGGGCCGCTACGACGACTACCGAGGCTGCTCGCCCGACGTGTACGGAGGTGGCGGCCGCGACGGCTATGGAGGTGGCCGTGGTGACCGCTACTCCGGAGGCCGCGACCGGTCCCTAGAAAGGGGTTGTCCCCCCTTGCGTGATTCCTACAGCCGTTCGGGCCGCAGAGAGCCCCCCAGGGGCGGAGGCCGCCTGGGAAGCCGCTCGGAGAGAGGGGGAGGCCGGAGCAGATACTAAAGCAAGAAAAAAAGAGAGAGAGAAAGAGAGAGAGAATGCCTGATGAACAGACTTGGGACCCCTACATTCTTTTTCCACCCAAGAAGAAGTTGGTTTTATGGTAACTACCCAAGGACTAGTGCAAAGAAGAGTTGTTTTTAATCGTTTACAAATTCATTGTTAACTTCCTCTCCCATTTTGAATGCTTTTGACAGGAAACCGAAAAGTTTAAAAAAAAAAACCTCGTTTAATTTCATGTTGGAATTGTTTTAAAAAAAGTTTTCTTTCAACAAGCTCATGTTAAAAGTATGACTTGCACCTGCGTACTAGTCTTCTTCTGTTCCAAAGTAGAAATCTTAAAGCTTTCCCTTCTAAGTTGGCCTGATAAATGAGGGAAATGGTTGTAAGATCTTTTACAAAACGTCCACCCACCTAAAATGGAAAGTGGCTCATTCTGCCCACTGAAAAATCTAGAAATTTTTTGGGAGAAGAGTGGGGGGATTGATATATGCTGCACCATTTCAGGGTCTTATGCAGACTGAATCTCAGTGTTTTCAGTATTAAAAGCCAACCAGCAACAACAAAAATCACTTAAATGCTATGTAAAGGAAGTTCTGTTCACTCAGTAACTAAAACAAATGGATAATATATCTGGCCTTTTTTTTTCTTTTTTGCCTTTTTTTAGGGGGAGGGAAATCTGACATATCCTCTGCCCCCTTACTTCCCCAAATTCAATTTATAACATTTGAACAACGATGGAATATTAGAAGTTTGACCAACCACAAAGCTAGAAAACGAAACAAACCCAAACACCAATTGATAGTATTTATTTTCACCATTAGCAAATAAGAAACAAGTAGAAAATATATCAATGATGGATTTTTAGGGTTTGTTATGACTTCCATTACTAACTGCAATATACTGGTTCTGGTGGAGAAAAATTGGGCTTCTTCCCCTAGGGGTGGAGTAATCAAACCTGAACAACTTCCAAGAGTACAGGTCAGCATTCCTGAAGGAGGTTGGCTTTTCCACATCTAAAGACTTCAAACTGGTGTGAAGGGGCAGGCTCTTTCCTTCTAAAACACAGTTCGGGTTATGTGTTCCCTACTCTTAAGGTTTGGAGCAGGGTTTGAGCAGAGGAAAATGAGAAGCTTCCTCAAACATACTTCTGGAGGAAGATAACTTAGTGTGTCTTCTTTCTGCCCCAAGCTTAGGGCAAGAAACAACTCCATTCAACATCTGTGGAACTTCCTTGCTTATCTGAGAGAAAGGTATAGCACGTATGTTCAGTGTAATATTTGCTGGATGAAACAAATGAACACCTGAACAACAAAATACAGAAATCTGAATGCAATACATTTACATACACAATTCCAAAAAGACTTTTTACTTCTGATTTTTTTAACCAAATAATGTAGATGAGTTAAAGAGTAAGGTCACAGTGGCCCAGAAGATCAAATGCAAGAAATAGATTTTCTAAATCCAGGAGTTAATCTAGCAAAGGTGCATAAGATCTTCATGGAAAAAAGTTACTCTTTTTATTAAAGGACAGAAAAGAAGAACTAAATGGAGATTCTTCTGTTTTCATGGTTGGGAAACTTTAACCATTCTCAGCCTCACCAAATTGACTTGGAAAAGCAGTACAACTTCAAATGAAGTCAATATTTTTCTTCTTAAAGCTCCCTTCCCCTCTCTCCTACTTACATCATTTATTATTGATCAGTGATGGAATATTAAAGAAAAGATTTGGTAACTTATAAAGCAAAATTTCAATAGCCTCATGTTACCAACGAATTACTAAGAAACACGTTATTTTATTTTTTAGAGACCCTAATGGAAGATATAGCCAATCTTAAATTTACTTGGTGGAATGAAATGAAGAGCCAGAGCAATTCTGAGAAACAATTAGGGAAGAGTCAAACAGATACCAAGACTTTATACTAAAGAAAGACTCATTGCAAACTCTGGTAATCTTATCTATACAATATCAACAAACAAGGATAGACTTAGTAGGCCAAATTTATGAGCCTAGAAACAGGCCCACTTGTAGATGAATACATGTTCTATGGGGGAGATAGCTTTCAAAGTCAATGTAAAAGAATGGACATTTTCTGTTAATGGCTGGCTCTACAAAAAGATAAAATGAGACAAAGATAAAAGCACATATAAGGGATGTTCTAGATTGATTTGAAAACACATGTGAAGAGATACTGGAAACACTTAGAAGAAAATTAAGAAATAGATTTATCACTCTTAAAATTCTTTTTAAGACGTAAAATGCACAAACAAGGAAAATATTGATAATTTCACATTAAGATATGATTTTTAAAAAGACTGAAATATCAAACAAATTGGAAGAATGTATTTGCATTGAGATAATTTACAAAAGAGTACTTAGAAATTACTAAGAAAAAATGCCAAGAAAAGAATGGGCAAAAAAGCCCAGACCTTCTGGTAGGGTAAATTGACACCTTGAAAGTAATTTTGGCAATACATAGTAAAATTGAAGGTTTCCTTACCTTATGACCCAGAGATTGCATGCAATCAAAGGACCTATAGAAACTTGCACATGTACATAAGGATAAGCACAAAATTGGTGTTTGCTGCATTGTGAATGTTTAAAAAATAGAAAAGCCTGCCAGGAATGCATCCATTGAGTTTAGTGAAGTTTGATGTAGACGCTAATGTGAATCGACCATATCTGCGTTACCAACATAGGTAAGTGTCAAAATATTTGATCAAAGGTACACTGCATAAATACAGTAAGAGGAACAAAAAATACAGTTGGAGTGATACAAAAAATCAGTATAATGTGAGGATGAACGAAGGAGATGGGATAAAGAATGGGCTTTTAGAAAAACAATGTTGCTTTAAATGTGTCAGATCATTAGAATGACAATATCTTAAGTTTATGTACACTGGCATCTATAAGTATTTTTGATAGAAATTTTAGTGTGAAAAATAAGGCTCTGCAGCATCTGACATATATATATATATATATATATATATATATATATATATAGCCTCAATAACATTCTGTAACTGAGGTACAAGATTTGGCAGTGATTCTTCGCTTTGTTTTCTCAATTTATGTAGTTAATCTAGTTGATTTAGTTTCTAGAACCTTCCTATTCTACAGTGTGCTTAACAGCTAGTATAATATCCTTATTGTATAATTTTCATATCTTAAGTAGTTGCCCTCCTTTCCCTCCCCTCCACTCCCCTCTCCCTCTCCTCTTCTAGAGAGCTGCAGGTCCTGGAATTTGACCCCAGAGCCTGGACCCTCAGATCATCTCAGCCTCCTAAGTAGCTAGGATTACTACAGGTATGAGCCAGCAGCACCTGGAAAATGAATTAATTCTTTTTTTGGGGGTCCAGTCGTGGGGCCTGAACTCTGGTCCTGGGTGCTGTCCCTCAGGCTCTTCATCTCAAGGCTAGCGCTCTACCACTTGAGCCACAGCACCACTTCCATCTTTTTTTTTGCTTATGTGGTGCTGGGGAATCAAACCCAGGACCTCATGCATACAAGGCAAGCGCTCTACCACTGAGCCACCTTCCCAGCCCCAATCAAGTAATTTTTAACCACCAAGTTATAAACATTTGTTTTTAAAGACATCTGAAGTTTATATGAGTACAAGAGGTTAGTTTAGTAAGGTGAATTTCTTATGTTTTATATGTACATAACAGCCCTAATATTTCTATCCTAGTTACAAAAGTTAGGTAATGAGTACACTTCTTTTTGGATAATGTCATCGCCCTTTCCCTGACTCTCTCCCAGTTCTCCTGTTCCTACCTACATTTAAATGATCTGTGAGAAAATAGAAAAGTGATGAGAACTCTCTTTATATTTACTTTAATAATTAGAGTCCAAAATCTCAACCAGAGAATAAATTTTAAGTGTTTTGAATAACCAAGGTCTGTATTTTCTATCTTGAGCATTTCTCAGTCTACTCCTAAGACCCTCAATCTCTTCCACATTTCTTTGGTTCATATAGGTCTCTCCATACTATTCATGGAGCCACCAATAGAATTATAGAATATTTCCCTAGGAGTTAAGCCACTAATAGAATTATAAAATATTTCCCGAGGAGGTGAGGCTTGATCAAACCCCGAATCCTAGCCCGGCCAGTGGCTTATGCCTGTATTACATGCCTGTAATACTAAAGAGAACTGGAGGTAGAATTCATTTTCTAAAGAACAATAGCCACACCCCGCTTCCCTTCCCACAGGCAAGGGGAGAGAGTTTACTGTCCACACAACTTCTAACTAGCACCTCTTTAATATTTCTGTCTTTAGATAATGTGGTTTCCATAATAATCCCCCTTCTAGCTTCATTGACTTTTAGGCAGTGCAACTTTTCTTCCTCCTCAGAATATTTATATTTGGGGGATAGTTTATGTCGTGAATATTTTCCTCTTTAGGGCATTTTTATAACCAAAGAGAATCACTGTGTTGTTTTAGCTGTACACTTTTCCCAATGGTATTAGGAATTTCAGATTCTGTATATTTTATTTGCAGTGAAGTTCATTCTGAGTTTAGCCTGGGGATATCTCTGAACCCATATGTGTGCGTATGTGCACTGTATCCACTTGCACTCTACCCACTCTAGCCACACCTCCACTTTTGGTGTTTTGGTGATTAATTAGAAAAATGAGTCTTTCCTTCTCTAGCTGGCTCTTTTCTGCCCGATCTAGCTTGGAACTATGGTCCTTAGCTCTCAGCCTCCTGAATAGGGCTAAAAGCATGACCTGTCATGGTTGTGCGAGGGGGTGGGTTTGGGGTTGGGCAAGGAGGCAGAGGTTAACGAAAAAGCCATGTCTAGGGAGGCTGGGGGCTTTTCAGATGGGCCCACAGTGCTTAGATAGATTGCCCTAACTGTACATCAAGCACTTCTGCACATACCTGGGTTTTTTTCTGGAGTCTGTATGTGCCTGGGATAATAAGGTGGGGGTCAGTCCTTCATTTCCAACCCGATGGGTTTTTCTTTCCTTTTTTTTTTTTTGGTACTAAGGCTTGAACTC